CTTTGCTGACAGCTGGTCTAGAGGTCTATATAGAAAATTCAATGGAATCTATGAAAACTCTTTTAGAACCAAGAAGTAAGTTTAGCAATTTTTCAGGATATAAGATCAATATACAAAACTCAATTACATATCCGTATACGAATAAGGAACAATCATAAATTGAATTAAAATAACAATACCATTTATAACAGCATTAAAAAACAAATTATTTAGGGATAAATCTAGCAGAAGACATGAAAGATCTATACACTGACAACTGCATAACATTCATGAGAGAAACTGACAAAGACAAATAATTAGACAGATATATCTTGTTAATGAGGGAAAAGACTCATTATTAAGAGGCAATTTTTCACTGAATTGATCTATGGATTCAATACAATCTCAATAAAAATCTCAGCAGGCTTTTATTGTAGAAATTGACAAACTGATCATAAAACTCATATGGAAATGCAAGGGATTTAGAATAACCAAAACAACTATGAAAAAGAATAAATTTGAAATAGCTAACACTATAGTTTACAAGTTATTATTAAAGCTAGAATAATCATGACATTGTGCTATTGATGTAAAGTTACACAAATAGATCACTGGAATAGAATACAGAGTCTAGAAATAAATTCACCCATGGTTGACGACACATGACATGCACAACTGATATTTCACAAATGCACAAAGGCAATGCAGTGGAAGAAAAGCAAAGGGTGCTGGAACAATTTGTCACCCACATATAAAATACAAAAGTAAACCTGGATCTACATAACATACAACTTACAAAAATTAACTCAAAATCGATCATAAATCTAAATATAAATCTAAAATTATAAAACTTTTTGAAGAAAACAGAGATGAAACCTTTGTAACCTTAAGAGAGCCAAAGATTTTTTAACTACCACTACCAGAAGCATGACCCATAAAAGAACAAGTTAAGTTGAATTTCATTAAAATTAAAAGCGATTGTTTTTCACAGACACTGCTAAGAGAATGAAAAGACAAGTCACAGATCTGAGGTAAGTCTTTGCAAAACACATATCAAATAAAGAACTTAGACCAAGAATATAGGAGGAACTCTCATAATGCTGAAAAATTAGAAATTCAATACTAGAAAAACCTAAAACTCAATTTTAAAAAAATGAACAAAAGATTAACAAGACAAGCAAATTACAAATAAGCACATGAAAAAATGCTCCAAGTCATTAATCATTAGGTAAATACAAATTAAAATCATAATGAGTACCACTACACAACAATTAGAACGGCTAAAGAAAGACTGGCCATTTTTCCAATCCTGAGGCTAGAATTTTCACACACTGCTGGTGGGCGTATAGTGTTGCAACTACTTGTAAAAACACTGTGGTAGTTTCCTAAAAAATTAAATATGCATCTATCATATGATCTGTTCACTCCACTCCTAGGTATTTATTCAAGAAAATGTATGTCTGTATACATTTTGGATAAGAATTATATATGAATGTTCAAATTGTATGTAGTAACTATTTGTAACACTGAAACCCTGGAAAAACTCAGAAGTTTATCAGCAGATTAATGAATAAATAAATTGTAGTATATTCTTCAATGGAATACAACTCATGTTATTAATATTTTTCTCTGTGTACTCTAGGTAAATAACATCTTTTTCTAAGTCTTTCACCACACAGCGATTGAAAAAAAAAAGAGGTTTGTTACCATGTATCAATTGATATTACTGAAAAGCATGCATAATAGCTGCCAAATCTTTCTGGCACATCATCAAATAGAACTAGATAATGACTCTGGTATTGTACTTTTAAATTAAACCATAAAACACATGTTTCCATTTGTGATTTAAATTTCCTTATTCCATTTACAAAATCAAGAGATAATCACAGTGTTTACAACAAAAATTTTGTGGCTGCCACATGCATAATTACATTGAGTTCACATCTAATTCCTGTTCTACAGAATATTCAAGAATATGACTGCCACAAGGATTATGGACGTCCTGTAAAGAACAATTTTAACAGTTACTTTGTACAAAAGAAATAAGCATTAATATCGGGACCTAAGTTGTTATTTTTCCTTTTCAACATTCATGATTAGGGACGAAAACAACTTGCATCAATGCATGCACAAAATTAGAGAAATTAATAGCCATTTGGTTAATCACTGTTTCTCTTTTTTACAGAGGAAATTATCCAAATATGGCCCCTTACGTTATCGGATCAAGCTGCTCTGCATGTGCAGATGAAGACACTTGCGCAAAGAAACTCTGCCGTAAGCAAAAAGGAGGGGAAAAAATAATCATTACATTCTATTTGGCAAGCAAAGTTTTCATAAATTCACTACATGTTAAAATTTGGCTCCTCAAGTTTATAGAGAATTTACAGACAAG